GTCCACTATATGGTACTGTTTCTCCCATAGCCAGGATCCACGGGTCTGGCAATCAAGGGGTGGAAAAAGGAGTATTTCCACTCACTAGTACTCCGAGTGACCCACTAGGAAAATTTCTGTTTCCTGTTACAGGGACCGTAAGTTCTGCTGGCCAAGAAGTTTTGGTTCCATAGCTGGTAGTGCTCCTGTCAGGAGCCACAACAAACATTCCATTGAACCGGAAGCTCAGACTATCCCTTGGGCACTTTGGGCTTCTGATGCCCTTAAACCAACAGCATAAGAAAGGAATAACAGCCGGGAGGTGGTGGTGCACGCCTTTGATCTCTTGGAGGCAGAGGCAGGCGGATCTCTGTGGTTCAAAGCCAGCCTGGTCTACAGAGTGAGTTCCAGGACAGCCAGGACTGTTTCACAGAGAGACCCTGTCTCGGAAAAGAGAGAGAGAGAGAGAGGGAGGGAGGGAGGGAGGGAGGGAGGGAGGGAAAGGAAAAACAGTGTTAGGAGGGGTGACTGATCCAGATTACCATGGGGAGATTAGGTTGTTTCTTCACCAGAGAGGTAAGAGAGATTATATCTGGTGTGCAGGAGATCCTTTAGGGCAATGATTCTCAACCTTCCTAATGTCACAACCCTTTATTACAGTTCTCATGTTGTGGCGAATCCCAACCATAAAATTATTTTCATAGCTACTTCCTAACTGTAATTTTGCTACTGCTGTGAATCATAATGTAAATATCTGTGTTGTCCGATGGTCTTAGGTGACCACTGTGAAAGGGTCATTTCAACCCCCAAAGGGGTCGCAACCCATGAGTTGACAACCACAGCTTTAGTGCATCTCTTGGTGCTACCACGTCCTGTGATTAAAGTCAATGGGAAAGTGCAACAATCTAATCCAGGCAGGATGACAAAGGACACAGACCCTGAAGGAACGAAGGTGTGGGTCACTCACTCCTCCAGGAAAAGAGCCAAGACCTGCTGAAGGTGGAGGAAGTACTGAATGGGTAGTAGAGGAAGGTAGTTACACCAGCTAAGGCCATGTGACCAGCTGCAGAAATGAGGATTATAATTGACATGAGTGTTTCTATCATATTTTGTAAAGAATATGCTTGTGCACATTTTGTGTTTTCTTTCCTCAATTTCTTTATCATATAATGTAACATAAATTAAGAGCATATCAGTGGTTTTCCTATTTAAGTTGAGATATTAAAAAAATGACCCTCGAGGGACATTGCCACCTATTCTAAATTTATAATGTGCTTGAGGTTGTACAAGGAATAGTTATTAGGTCCAAAGGAAACTCCAATTCCCCAAACTCCAAAGGCAGTCCACCTATCTAGAAATGCACTCAACCTGGACTATAGGATTTCTGGTGGTTAGATTAAAAAGTCAGCATTCCTCAGGAACTTATGAAACTGGTTCCCCTCCACCAAAAGGAGTCATTTCCTTACCTCTGGCACAAGGGACATATGGCTACCTGTGGCACCTATCAGCATATCAAAGTGCATGCTGGGCTCCAGGCTCCTTCAGTATCACAAGTACCTGCTACACATTTCAAAGTCCATGCTAGTATACTAACCCTTCTCACCTCCTCCCTACCCTAAACTCCCTCCAGCTCATGACTTTCCCAACCCAGCTGCTCATTCTCCTTAGAACCCTGCCATTCTCCCTCTTCTCTCTCCCTCTTCTCTCTCTCTCTCTCTCTCTCTCTCTCTCTCTCTCTCTCTCTCTCTCTCTCTCTCTCTCTCTCCCCCTCTCCTCTGTTCCACACTGTTCCACATGCCTCTAGCTATTCTCTCTCTTCCCCTTGGCCGGGCGGTGGTGGTGAATGCCTTTAATCCCAGCACTCGGGAGGCAGAGGCAGGCGGATCTCTGTGAGTTCGAGGCCAGCCTGGTCTCCAAAGTGAGTTCCAGGAAAAGGCACAAAGCTACACAGAGAAACCCTGTCTCGAAAAACCAAAAAAAAAAAAAAAAAAAAAAAAACCTTCGCCTTGACAATAAGGTGGATCTGTCATGTGGTCAGTTTATACAGTTATATCGTTTTAGGTTTAACTATGATCTGATTAAATATATAACACATTTGCAATTTTACATTGGATAGTTATATCATATATAATTAATAGGCATAATTATGATCTGATGATTGTTTTCATTTGGAAATTAAGCATGACATAAGGAGACATGACTGTGTGTCAAGTTGACAAGGAGTGGACTTGTGATGACTATTCTTGGTTGTCAATTTGACTACAACTGAACTAAAACCCAGATGGCTGGGCACACCAACAAGGGATTCTTTTCTTAGCTAAATCATTTGAAGTGAGAAGATCTACTTTTAAATCTGGATCTTTGAGGTGGGAAGATACACCTTTAATCCAGATTTTTTTTGAGGTGGGAAGACCCACCTTTAATCTGGGTCACACTTCCTGCTAATAGCCTATACAGAGGGCATAAGAAAAGGAGGCTTGTTCCCTTTGCCTGCTTACTCTGACTCTTGCTGGCAAGTGCATTCATTCCTTCACTGGCACTGAAGCCTACTTCTTCAGGATTCCAGCATATACCGAAGACCAGCTGAGACATCCAGCCTCGTGAACCAAACAGCTATTGGATTCTTGGACCTTCTATTAGTAGACAGCCATTGTTGAACTAGCTGGACCACAGCCTGTAAGCCGTTCTAATACATCCTATATTTGTCTATATGTTTTGTTCCTTTAGAGAACCCTGACTAATAGATACACTGTCTCTCTCTACTGTTAGAGGTAAACACATGCACTTCCACTTTAACCCCCGCCTGTCTGCAGACAGCCTTCAAGAAATCTATAGGAGGCCTGACGAGATGGCTCAGCAGGCGAGGCACCTGCCCCCAACCCGACCATCTGAGTAAAGCCACTGGTCTCACGTGGTAAAGAGAGAGAATGACTCCTACAAGTTGTCCTGTGACTTCCATAAGCCTACATGGCACACGTGCATGCACATACTAAATAAATACACTAAAAACTAAAAATAAGGGATCGGCCATGTATGGTGGCACGTATCTTTTCTACATTTTTTAAAGATTTATTTATTTTATGTATGAGTGCTCTATCTAGAGGGCATCAGATTCCACTGGAGATGGCTGTGAGCCACCATGTGGTTGCTGGAAATTGAACTCAGGACCTCTGGAAGAGCAGTCAGTGCTCTTAACCTCTGACCATCTCTCCAGCCTCAAGTGGCACATGTCTTTAATTCCAACACTCAGGAGGCAGAGTCAGGAGGATCTCTATGACTTGAGGCCAGCCTGGTCTACATACAGAGTTCCAGGACAGCCTGGGCTATGTAGAGAGACTGTCTCAATAAACAAACAAACAAACAAATAAATAAAGGATTGAAGAGATGGCTCAGCCATTAAGAGCTCTTACTGCACTTCCAGAGGACCAGAGTTTGGTTAGTTCCACCAATACTAGGGAACTCACTATAACTCCAGCTCCTGGAAGCACATGACTCACACACATCATACAAATAAATACAGTTTTAAAACTAAAAATCAAATTTAAACAATTTTAAAGAAATTTATATGAGATGTAATTTTTTAAAAAAAGTTTTGTGCTTGAATTGTTTTAATGTTTGAAGTTTTTAGGGTTTTTGTTTTTCTTTCAATGCTTATGAGTGACTGCATGTATATAATGTGTACCACATGCATGCTGTGGTAGTTTGAATGTAATTGGTCCCCATGTGCTCATAGGGAATGGCATTACTAGGAGGTGTGGCTTTGTTGGAGTGAGTATAGCTTTGTTAGAGGAAGTGTGTCACTGTGGGGGCGGGCTTTGAGGTTTCCTATGCTCAGGATACCACGGAGTGTCTCAGAATACTTCCTGTTGCCTGCAAGATGCAAGACTCTCAGTTAATTTGCCAGCACCATGTCTGCCTACACGCTGCCATGCTCTCTGCCATCATGATAATGGACCAAACCTCTGAAACTGTAAGCCAGCCCCAATTAAATGTTCTCCTTTATAAGAGTTTCTGTGGTCATGGTGCCTCTTCACAGCAATGGAAACCCTAACTAAGACACATGCCTAGTGCCTTCAGAGGTTAGCAGAGGGCACTGGATTCCCTGGAAATGGAATTACAGATGGTTGTGAGCTATCACGTAGGTACTGAGAATTGAACCCAGGCTCTCTGCAAGAGCAACATGTGCTCTAAACTACTGAAGAATCTCTCCACCCCTATTGTTTGTTTGAAACAGGTCCTTATGTAGCCCAGGATGGCTTCAAACTCGGTAGGTAGCCAAAGATGACCATGAATTACTGATACTTCTGCCTCTACCTACCAAGTGCTGGGATTACAGGCATGAACACATGGCTTAAAAAAAAGTGTTGAGCAGGGCAGTGGTGGCACATGCCTTTAATCCCAGCACTTGGGAGACAGAGGCAGGTGGATCTCAGTGAGTTCGAGGCCAGCCTGGGCTACAAAGCAAGTTCCAGACAGCCAGGACTGCTATACAGATAAACCCTGTCTTGAAAAAAAAGTGCTGGCCATGCCTTCCTTCCTTTTTTTTTTTTTTTTGGCGGGGATTGGGGGGGAGAGAGGGTCTCTCTCTATGTACTTCTGGATGTCCTACAACTCAATATGCAGACCAGGCTGGCCTCAAGCCCACAGAAATCCTCCTGCCTCTGCCACCAGAATGCCGGTATTAAAGGCATCCACCACTATGCCCGGCACAGCATCCATGCCTTTGTAACAGCACTCACCAACCCTACTTACTTAGCAGTCAATCTCCTCTCCCTATTGTAAACTCTTAGAAGGCAGGTGCCACATCTTAGCCATCTACATATCCCTAATACCAAATGCAGGATTTAGCAAAAAGTTGATGCTCAAGAAGAAAATGTAGAACTACTTTAAAACTGATTGAGTTCCCTCCTATGTTTGAAAGTGGGCAATTTCACTAAACCTCAACAACCAGGGCTGCAATTCGGGCTAATACTCCCCAGTCTGAATGGTAGGTATGCATAGTTTCAGTAGGTACACCTTACCTTCAATACAGAGGTTTGCTACACTCCCGTCTTCCACACTGCTTAACAGTCCTTGGAGCAGAGCAAAGCAAGAAAAAGATTGATTAACAGTGCTGTTTCAAAATAAACAGTTCTACAAAAGAAAGCATCATTCTAAAGCCAGCAGTTTTAAGTAATGCCCTTGCTAAGTCCTACCCTCAGCGACACCTAGACTTCTCAATGTCCAGTCTAACTTTTAAAAGATGACAGTCCATGTGCACAGCAAATAGACTCTATGCTCTGCAGTCTGACACATCTAAGGGCAAAAAAAATAAATGTTGCCTGTTATTTTCTTCAAAGATCATCCTATGTCAGCCGGGAAAAGCCTCAACACAGGGAAGCACTCAGTGCATGTTAACCATCCTCCCTACAAGGACTCATTCCCCTGGACACCGTAATCATATCAAAGAAGGAACCACCTCACTTTCCATGTAAAGAAACCAAGGCATATGAAAAGGAAAACAACCTGATCAGGATCACATCCAAGGTCAGCCGACTCCATTCCAGGCCTCTGATCCTGAGCGGAACCTCAACTGTACAAGAGGAATCACCCACTTCCCATGTGTATCTCTGCACTTTCACTAGCCTCTTAGATCTAATAAGGACAGTTACCATGAACTGATTCACGTAGCTTAGAAAGGGGACCACATTGCTAAGACTACAACCAAACAACTTGCTAGGAAACGGGTCACAATAACACGAAACATCTAAGTCATCTTTCCGAGTCCTCCAAGGGAAAACCATACGCTACACATGCAAAGTTCACGCCAGCTTTCCCTTTGAAGCTCACCAAAAAGCACGCGTACGAAATGGATGCAGACTCTCTGGTCCTGAGCTACCAGCTGTGTGACCAAGGAGGTGTGTCTCACGAGAGCATCTTGGAAGCAGAACACCACATGTTTCTTGCGCACCAACTTTGAGTGAATGAAGAGAAATATTCAATAGTGACCAAGGCAGGGTCATTCTGAATTCAAACAATAATTTCCGAATATAACCACAGGATGGTACTACCGCAGCCATTTAAACTATGGGGAGAGCCATACTCCCTGGAGGGAGCATGGACAAGTACATTTACACTAGGAAATTCATATATTTACATAGAAGAAGTATATAGAAACTGATGTTTCTACCTTATGTTTACATAACACTTTGTTTACAATCACTCTTCACCAATACACTTGGAGGACAGAGATTCTTTTTTGTCTCACGTAGCCCAGGCTGGCCTCAAACTCACTATGCAGCTGGGGTTGGCTTTGAACTGATCCTCTATCATCTCCCAAGCGTTGTAATTACAAGTGTGTGCCACTAATAACACGTTTCAGCCTAACAAGTTAGTAAAGCAAGCAAAAAAGCTATCCCGATTTTGTAGATGAGAAAAACAGGCTCCGAGAGACTTGCCCAAGGACTCACATCCAAGCCTTTAAGCAGGCATTGACTAACTTCCTAAGTGCACCCAAGGACAGGTTGGAGAAAGGTCGGCCTGGGCTGAGGGGGTGGGGAGGCGGGCTGCAGGGGAGAGACTAAGGGTCGGGGCAGCAATGGCCGCTGCAGCCATGAGAGGGGCAAGCCTTGGGGAAGGGTGTCGGCTTGGGGTTTTGTTTCAGGAAAGGTGAGCCTGGTTCAGAGAAGCCAGGCGAGGGAGGAGAGGGAAATGGCCGCGCCAGGTCCTCGGGGGTGGGGAGGGTTTAGGTCGCACCGACACGCCGGGCTCCGGCAGCAGCTCCAGGGCGCAGGCCAGGCAGACGTGAGGGGACACGGGCAGCAGCCAGCGCGGATCATGCCGGCGATGGGTCCTCTCGAGGAGCAGCACCGCTTCTTCATCCCTCCCAAACGCTGCGGGATAGTCAGCAGCCGTCATCTGCCCCACCGCCATCTCCAGGCTCGGGCTCTGCAGCGCAAGTTTTCCCGCCCAGCCTTTGCGCAAGCGCACTCGGAAGAGCGCGCCGCACACTGTACGAGCGTGCGCGTGTCTCCTGGGCCCCGACGCGGCCGGTCGCCAGGGCAAGGCGAGCAGCGGCTGCCAGGGTGGTTTGTGTCAGCAAGGACTGTGGGTTTGTGCAACTAAACCCGAAAGGACTGTGCATGGGCCCGGGCAGGAATTGGTGCTCAGTACATCGAAAGTTGAGAAGTATTTATAAAGTAGCTGTCCTACTTTAAAGGAAGGAAAGAAAATCAATTGCTGCTATTATTTGCTTGGGTTTGTATGTTTTTAGAGTCAATGTTATGTAGGAGTGTTTGTCTGCGTGACTGTATGTGCACTATGTGAGTGCCCGGAGCCTGCAGAGGTCAGAAGAGGGATCCGCTGGAGCTGGAGTAAGGGAGGCTTGGGAGCCACCATTTGGTGTCGGGAACCAAAACCAGGTCTTCTCCACGAGCAAGTGCTCTTAACCCTTGAGCCATCTCTCCAGCCTGTTTTTGGTTGGTTGGTTGGTTGGTTTTAGTTAGGTTCTCATGCAGTTCATACTGGTTTCAAACATGAAATGCAGCTGAGGATGACTTTAAATTCCTGATTCTCCTGAGACTGACACTGGAGGATTGCTCCGTAATTTCTGCTGTACCTAAATTTTTAGAAGTCAGTAGTGCCAAAACACACTCAAGGAGAGGGGATTTCACAAGGCGTGAACACTCGAAGGGAGAGATCACTGGAAGCTGTTTTACAGGCTTACCACAGTGTGCATGTTATGGTAGAGGTAGAGAGATTGCTACAGGAACATCCTGCGGGCACTGGTGGACAAAACAGAAAGAACACATTAAAATTTAACTGGGTGGCAGAATTATGGGAGCTTTTTGTTGTTTTTAGGAAATAAGCAGGTAGAGGACTCTATGTACTTGAGAATGATCTTGAATTCCTAATCCTGTGCCTTCACCTCCCAAATGCTGAAATTACATTTTTCTAAGTGTTCAATGAGCACGTATGGCTTTTATGATGAATTAAGACATAGGTAGAAGAAAAATAGTTTGTTTATACCAAAAAAAAAAGTATGTAGAGGCTAAAGGCAGCTCAGTGGTACAGCACTTGCTCAGCATACACAAGGCAAGAAGCATCGTAAGATTGGCTCTGAAGATTCCCACTTGATTCAACTATTAGCTCTGGAATGTCCCAGGGTGGGCTAATACAGCAAATAATTATGGTGGGCAATACTATAGAACAGGATGGTTTGTCTGTGAAGTTTGTTCATGGGCAGCAGAGCTCCAGGATTCAACCCTCCTGTCTCCTCCACTTTTTAAAGACAGCGTCAACTTGTCAAACCCTAACTAAGCCACAAGTTCTGTCTTAATTAGGGTTTCTATTGCTGTGAAGAGACACCCATGATCATGGCAACTCCTATAAAGGAAAAATATTTAATTGGGGTAGCTTACAGTTTCAGAGGTTTAGTCCATTATCATCGTGGCAGGACCTGGTGCCGTGCAGGCAGACATGGTGCTGGAGAAGTGGCCGAGTGTCCTGCTACATCTTGGCTTTCAGGCAACAGGAAGTGGTCTGAAACACTGGGCGTGGCTTGAGCATATATGAGACCTTAAAGCCCACCCCTACAGTGACACACTTCCTCCAACAAGGCCACACCTCCTAAAAGTGTCACTCCGTGAGCTTATGAGGGCCAATTACATTCAAACTAGCACAAGCCGCCTCTCGTGGCTCTATGTTTTTGTTTTTGTTTTAAATAACTTCCTGACTCCAGTTCCTATTGCCCATATACTCCTGGGTTTGGGGCCATCCATTAGAGTATGGTCGACCTATTAAGAGCTATATCTTAAAGAAAACTGACTCTCCTCTTCCACAGAAGCTGTCAAGTACCCACAGCTCCTCAGGAGTGGATAGGTTCATCAGTCCCTTCGCACTCTGTTCTGGGATGTTGACTGGCTTGATCTTGTACAGCTGCTGTGTGTTTATGAGTGCAGCCGTCCTGTCAGATTCCAGAAGACACGGTTTCTCTCTGGTCCTCCTCTGTTTCTGCCTCTTACCATCTTCCTGTCCCCTCTTCCTCAATGGTTCTCAGCCTTGACAGGACCTCACTTCTTTGTAATCAAAGGGGTCTCATGCAGAGGACTACCCTACCCTCCAAACAACTGAGGCTGAGTACCCTGCTTCAGTCAGGATTAGTTAGGGAATGGGGCAAACAAAGCCACGATAAATCCTCAGTGTCCTCTCCCCTGAGGAGCTAGGAGCCTGGAGGAAGAGGGTTAAAGTTAGGGTTGGAAGTAGATGACCCCGGGTTGACCTACATTCTGCTAACCTTAAAAGATGCACGGTAGAAGTGGCGTCTATGCCATCCACAGAGTATCCCAAATCCCCAAAGAGAACAGTCGGACAACACACCACAGGAATCTGCAGCCCCACAGGATCCAAATAATCAATTTTATTAGAGGCTCTGGGACTAAGCAGGTCACTCTCATGTGTTCTCTGACATGCCCTAAGGACTTTGGGCCTGTGGCCTACTTTTTAAGGCCATACTGTCTGAGAAAATATCTCAAGTGCCTCATAAAACCAAACTTCTGTGAGACTGCTGGATTTCGGGGTGCCCTATTTGGGTTCCCAGGTGCCTCATGTTCCTTGACGCTCTCCATCTTAGGAACAATGACTCCTGTACAGCAATGCCCTGGTGGCTCGAGGGCCCTCTCCAAAGCAGTGGGGACTCTGATGCTGTCCTCCTTTGTATATAGGGCACTCACTTTGGGAAATGGGGTAGGATTCCTCGGGGTAAGAAAAGGAGCTGAAAGCTGGGACTTAGCCAGCTGTGGTGACCATGGCATCTTGCTCAAGATTGTCATGCTCAGCCTGGCTGTGGCAGAGTGGACATTCCCTTTGAAGCTGGAGGTATGTGCAGAACAGAGGAAAGGTGGCTGCCAGGCCCCCGTGCCCTCTGCAGATCCCACACTTCCACTTCTCAAGTATGGGGACTGCTGACATTTGAGTCTGGGGAGCTCAGAGGCTTCCCTTGGCACGCATTCCTTCTTCCACTGGCTGTGGCCTTCTGTGCAGGATGGTGCCCTCACTCTGCTGGAAGCCCTCTCTTCCACATGGGAGACTCCAGGCCTGACCATTTTTCTGCCCCTGCTGCTCTCAGTGGAAAGCTCTTGGACCTGTCCTGGGCCGCACCAGCTCCTGGACTCTGCTGCTGGCCTGGGAATCCCCGGAGCAGGATTCTTGGCCTTAGGGGCCTCCTCTTGGATCGGTGGTTCTCTTGCTCCCCCTGGTGGCCTAATTCTCCTGGGTTTCTTAGGTGGAACGGAGCTGCGCGTTGGCTCTGACTTGGGTGGCTTACCCTTCTCCAGAGCCTGGACTTGGGTAGAAAGTTTTGAGCTTTTTCTTTCTGGAACGGGACGGCTTTGAGACCTGCCTGGAGACTCGGGGCCTAGCAGGGATCCCTGGGGCTCACAGTGCTGTTCCTGTTGCCTTTGGCGGTCCCGGTCTGTGCGTGATCCAGGCAGCCTCACTCCAGCCCGAGGCAGAGCGCAAGCCTCTAAGAAGTGAAAAAGCAGGTAAGACTCCAGGATTCGTCGAGGGAGGCCCCACCTCAGGTGTGCGATCCTCCTCTTCATGAGGGACTCCAGGAGCAGATGTTTGCTCTTCTTGAGGGCTGGCCATTTGGACGGAGTGGTGAGAACGGGTACGCTTGCTGGAGCCGCGGCAGCCTGGCGGACTTGGGGACACAGGAGAGAGGGAAAGACAGAGGACGGCTGAGACTGTGGGTGGAGGTGCTGGCAGGTCAGGCTGGGAGCCTCTGCTGGTTCCACCCTTTTGTCCCTTTCTTGTCTTCTTTGAGACCCAGGTTGGGCCCTCTGGGAGCTTCCACTGACCCCGCCTCTGTGCTTCCGGGCAGGGGCCGGGCCCTGCCTGCTTAAATGTTCCTGAGGACAGGGAGCAGAGTCTATACCATTTCCAGCGACTGGCTGCTTGTGTCTGGGGGTTCCATGTCTAAAAATGAGAGAAGCAGGCTGAGCCAGGCTGTGCTTCCTGCCTGTGGGCCCCTCTCTCACAGAAGAGTCCCCTTGAAGACTGGACCTGACAACATCCTTCCTTCTGACCTGGCCCTTGTCTCCTCTCCTCCACGTGGGAGACTGGTCAGACTCCTCAGCTCCGCGTTTGCTCTGGGCCCCTACAGCTGGGATTTCTGCAGCAACAGCTCTACCCTTGCTCTGGATTCTTTGTCCCTGGGTCTGAATCTTTCCATCCATTTCACCCACTGACTGTCTCTGGTCCTCTCCCCGGGAGGCTCGGCTCTCTGGGCCACCATCACCTGTGAAGTTTCGCAAGCTTCTCTTCCCTTGTTTTTGAATGTCTGCATCGTTCCCCTTTCTGAATTTTTGCGGGGTCTTCCACTCTAACAAGTAGGTCTTTCCGTTAACTTTCCTTAGCACCCTCTGAGTCTTCCTCCTGGCTCTCTGGATCTTTCTACCATCCTCGCTTCCAGCCTTGCCCCAGGTTTTCTTCTCCAAGGCCCCATTTTCTGAAGCCTTCTCTCCTCTCGCCTGTCCCCAGCTCCTCCACCTTGTAGAACGGCTTCCTCTGGTTTCCGTCAACTGTCCCTGGTTCTTGCTCCCGGGTCTCCGGGTCTTTACATCAACATCACCTCCAGCTTCTCTCTGGTTTCTCCTCCCTGGTGCCAGCTTGTCCACTGCGTGAGTCTCCAGGGGAGTTTTACCTCTTAGTTGACCCTGAGTCTCAGCCTCGGGTGGCAGGTTGTTTGTCCCATCATCTCCACCTTGTCTCCGGTCACTCTCCAGGGCCCGAATCCCTGCAGTGTGTTCCCCTCCAATCTGACCTTGATTTCCCCAACATGATATCTTGAGTCCTCTGTCGATTGCAATCAGCACCAGTCTCTGGTTTCCCCACCAGGGCGCCTGGATCACCACCCAGTCCTCTTCTCTTATCTCCTTGAGCTTCTTCATCCCCACCTG